AATGAAAAATAAAAGAGTAAATTAAGCCCAAGATAAGTCGAAAAAAAGAAATAATAAAAATTAAAGCAGGGGTGCCTGGGTGGCTCAGTCAGTTGAACTTCCAACTCTTGGTTTTGGCTCAGGTCATGATCTCAGGGTCGTGGGATTGAGCCTCGTATTGGGCTCTGTGCTCAGTGGGGAGTCTGCTTGAGATTCTCTCTCTCCCTCTCCCTCTGCTCCGCCCCCCACTCTCTCTCAAAAATAAATAAAATCCTTAAAAAATTAAAGCAGATATCAATGACATTGAAAACAGAAAATCAACAGAAAAAAATCAATGAAACCAAAAGCTGGTTCTTTGAAAAAAAAAAAATCTGCAAAATTGATACACCTCTAGCCAGGCTACTAAGAAAAGGAGAGAAGATACAAATTATTAATATCAGAAATGAAAAATGAGACATCAGTACAGAGCCCATGGACGTTAAAAGGATAATAAAGGAATACTATGAACAACTCCATGTCCACATAGAATCTAGATGAAATAGACCAATTCCTTGCAAGACACAATCTGCCAAAACTCACACAAAATCACACAATCTGAATAGGCCTATATCTATTAAAGAAACTGAATCAGGGGCACCTGGGTGGCTCAGTCATTAAGCCCCTGCTTTCGCCTCGGGTCATGATCTCAGGGTCCTGGGATTAAACCCCACGTTGGGCTCCCTGCTCGATGGGAAGCCTGCTTCTCCCTCTCCCACTCCCCCTGCTTGTGTTCCTGCTCTCGCTCTCTCTCTGTCAAATAAATAAAATAAAATAAAATAAAAGAAATTGAATCAATAAATAAAAAAAAAATTATCTTCCACAAGAAAGCACGAGGCCAAGATGGACTCACTGGTGAATACTACATACAACAGAATATGATTCAACCTTAAAAAGGAAATTTGGGGTGTCTGGGTGGCTCAGTCATTAAGCGTCTGCCTTCGGCTCAGGTCATGATCCCAGTGTCCTGGGATCGAGTCCTGCATCGGGCTCCCTGCTCAGCAGGAAGCCTGCTTCTCCCTCTCCCACTCCTTCTGCTGTGTTCCCTCTCTCGCTGTGTCTCTGTCAAATTAAAAAAAAAAAAAAAAAAATCTTAAAAAAAAAAAGCGGGAAATTTGAACACATGCTATAAAATGAATGAACCTTAAGGATATTATGCTAAGTGAAATAAGCCAGTCACAAAAGGACAAATACTGTATGATTTCATTTATGTGAGGTAACTAGAATAGTCAAATTTATAGATACAGGAGGTAGCATGGTAGTTGCCAGGGGCTGGGAAAAGAGGGGAATGGGGAGATGTTATTTAATGGATACAGAGTTTCAGTTTTGCAAGATGAAAAGAATTCTGGAGATGGGTTGCACAACAATGTGACTGTATTTAACACTGCTGAATTGTGTGTAATTAAAAATGACAGAGATGGTAAATTTTGTGTTATGTGCATTTTGCCATTATGAAAAAAAAAATCCGTGGTACCCTGGGGGGAGCTATGTAGTTATAAGGTTTACTAAGTCCTGGTCAGGTCAGATTGGGCCCTTGAGGACAAACCATAACCATAGCCCCCCACGCTCACTGCTCACAACCCCTTTCTGGCCCACAAAGCATCTGCTGGGACTCACAGCAAACACCAGCGGGTTAGAAGGGGGAAGGGTCATGGCCAGGTAACTCTTGGTAAGGGGAAGCAGCGAGCCCACAGCCCCATTCTTCAGACTCAAGGCCTGTGCTTTCCCTGCTGCCTTAGGGCCCTGTGGAAAGCCCAGATTCCAAAACTGGGTCACGTGGCTTTGGATTCCAACTCTGCCACTTACAGCTATGGGGCCTTGGGCAAATTACTCAGCCTCTATAAGCCTCCTGCAAAACGGGGTTAACATGCTGCGGGGTCACTGTGTTTTCATCACACATAAAGTATTCACAAAGGCATGTGGGAAGCATTCTGCCAATGTTAGCTATTATAATACCTCAGGAGTTGGTTTGCGATTTTGTTCTTTTTTTTCCCCTGAAGATTTTTTTTTTTTT